ATGATTGGAGGCTTAGCCGCACAAACATTTACTTTTATACAGGAAACTTGATGTTACAAAGAAAAGTTCCTGACTAATGGAGAGCAATCCTATTCAGAACTCCCATTTTAATCAGTGGAGCTTACTTCTAGGAAAGGACTGCAGCCTTATTCTCCTTGACACCCAGTTTTTGTTAATGTAGAAGGATTTTGTTAGGGGAGGGGGAAGCATTCAGTCATAGGCTGTTGGAAGTTATACAGCCAGGACCTAAGCTGAAAGCTTAAATGCAGGGACAGTTAACCATAAGATGAACACACATAAGAAGCTGTCTTATACTGAGTCAGACCCAGCATCTCACGCACAGCTCTGTCACATCACCTACCACCAACTTGAATAGCCCAGGTAGGTCCAAGCTCATCAGAGCTGGAAAGATAAGCAGGGCTGGCCACAGTTAGCACTTGGATGGGAGACTGCCAAGGAACACCGGGGTTGTTATGTGGAGGAAGGCAATGGCAACCTCTGAACATCTCTTGCCTTGAAAACCCTAAGGGGGGGGGGGAGCTCACCATAAGATGGCTATGACTTGATAGGAAAAAAAACCCAAATAAAGCTACCAGATACTTTTAAATGGAGGTGCTGGGGGGGTTGAACCTGGGACTTTCTTCATGCAAAGCAGGTGCTCTGCTACTGAGCCGCAGCCCCTGCCCTGAGTATGCTAGCTAGAAATGTAAGGCTTTTGCACCACTTGTGAAAAACAAATGTGATTGGCCCTGAGAGGAAGGCCAGTGGTATCAAAGGGCCACTGATAAAGATCAAAAGTGCTTGTTGCAGATGGCTCTGTGGCCCTGTGTTCCCTCTGCTCTCAGATACAGCCATGGAAAGGAATTCCAGTTAGAGGAATACTTTGGTGACAATGAAGGAGAGATAAGACAAAGAGTAGAGGATTGTCAGAGTGAGAAAGAATAGGCCTTCTTTTTAGCCATGTGATGGCCTACTCTTCTATAACAGTAATACTTAGCATTTGTATAGCACTTTCAAAGGTTCAAAGCACTTCACTTACATTATCTCCTTGCAACCTTTTCAGCAATCCTATAATAGAGGTCACTTTTATTATCCCCATTATGCGGATTGCGGCTGGACAGAAAAGTAGCGGTAAAAGACCACCTAGTGAGTTCAGAGCAGAGACAAGATCCAAACCTGATTTGCAGCTCAGTCTCTCAGTGTAGTTGGCTAGTTTATTTTCCTCCTGTACCTCTAAGTATCTTGTCCTATTCTCCTCCCCTAGAATCAGCACGTTTTTCAGAAGAAAGAGCAGTGCCACATTTGCCACTGAAATACTCCAACTGCTAGCCTAACGTAGGTGACTGTACAGCTGTGTATATCCTACAGCAATCACACGGACACACAGTATAATCTGGAGGTTCCAGGTTCAAGCCGTGGCATTTCTAGTCTTAAAAGAATTTGCTGCTGCCCGTCATTTTTGATAAGGAACAAAAGGGGGAATTAGTCAGTGAAGAGAGGTAACCAACGCTCCCTCTAAGCTGTGGAGTCTTGTGAGCAAAAAATCTACTTTGTGAGCTACTGGGCATTAAAGTTGTGAGCGAGCAATTTGGCTACTGCATAAATTTAGTTTGTTCTGGAGCCATCCTTCCTGAGCTAGGAGGAAAATGTGTGAGTCAGAGGCTAAAAAACTGTGAGCTAGCTCACACTAACTCAGCTTAGAGGGAACACTGGAGGCAACTAGACAATACTGGGTTTGATAGACCAGAAGCTTAACTTTTGTAATATTTTTATTTATTTACTATTTCTCTGCTGAAGGCATGGATCTGTGCATGCCACTTGCCCAGATTTTCTGCACAATCTGCCACCTGGGCTGCTGGGCCCACTATAGTTTATGGTAGGGTCATGGCTCCTCCATGGTGTCTACCACTGGAATTGTGCGCTTTATGATTTTTTAAAACAAAAATCAGAATCTTGCACTAATGAAAGCTTAGTTCTGCCACCTATACATTTAATGTGATTTAAACAAACATGTACCTTTGTCGCTAGGTGGGTAGGCATGCTGAGAACTTCTTCATTTAATCCTTGCCAAGTGAACATACCTGGTTCAAAATCCCTTGATCAGATACAAGGTGGGCACCCGATCAGATAGCCTCAATACTGCCTTGTCTTGAGCCGGCATTGTAGCCACCTGATCAGTGCAGCTAAAAGCTGCTTCTGCCCAGTTAAAGAACTAAATCACCTCACATTCAGGTCATCAAATCGACTGACTTGGATAAGGCATAGAGCACCTACACGGTTGGATGCATCCTTCAAAAACCTGACATCAGCTAGATTGCATGATCTGCATTTTCCACCGGTGCTGTCAGTGGCATCCATTTAGGAAGAGAGTACAGGAACTGACCACATGTTTAATTGGGTGCATGAACCAACACTGAGTTGGACCCAGCAAAGAGCTTCCATGGATACGGGCTTCAGCCTGTGGAGTGTGATTTCTTGGCTCCTCTCTCCTGCAGCACTCCAAAATGCCCACAGAAATCCTGATGGGGCGGGAGAGGTCTGAGCCCACAGAAATGCTGTGCGGGATCCAACCCAAACAAGGTATATAAAGATAATATGTACTAAACTTTAAAAGTTATAACTGGATTCCCCCCACCCCATTTTACTATATGTTCTTCTAATAATCAGAGGTGGAAGCAGTGTAAAAGGGAGACAAGGGTAGAGGGGCAACAGTAAAAAAAAGTGTAATCAGGTGAGGAAATAGTCATAAGCATGCAAGCCAACTATTCCAAATTCAATTGGATATATTTGAACAGCTTGTTGAACCATCAGCTCCCAGTTTACAACAAGCAATCAGGATATGAGTCAAACGGTGGTTGTTCAAGCATGTCTATTGGGAAGGCAATGAAACCTCACACCTGGCCAGTGGTGGTGTTGCTGAGCCTTGTCTTTGGATTCAGGCATTTTACCAGGCATTGCCCACAGAAATGAAGCCATTGGCACAATCCCTTAGTTCCTACCCAGCAGGAACAACAAAGCCTAAATACACAGGATGGGGATAAATACATTCTTCCCCTGTTTATACTTCCCCCTCCCTTTAATTGTCTTCTTTGACTCAGATCTTTGGGACAGGAAACTTTGTATATTCTGCAAAGCACTAACAGTCTTGGTATTATATCAAGAAAGGATCATAATAAAAGTCAAGGTCTCTTCATAGATAGGAAAGTTACCATTTAAGAAAACGAAAAGTGAAGAATTCCGATGTCTGAATTTTGAGCTACATATTAAGTCACACATTTATAAGGGATAACCATGGAATACCAACTCCTGTTTATTTCCTTCCCTTTCTATTCTGCTATACCCCTTTATTAAGTCTACTTTCCCCCACCGTTCACTTTGCCTTGCTAAGATCGCAGGGACTAGAAACACTTTACGGAGCCATTTGATCACCTGTTTTACCACCTATGGACACATGATATGTGATAGTATGCTGATGTCAAAGCTAACCAAAGGGTAGAGCTTACCTCAAGGATAGTTTAGGCACCTGTAGAGATTCAGACTCTCCTTTTGATCTGTCCAGTTCATTTTCACCCTGATGGCTTGCAATACACATTACCTAATATGTAACATGAGGGCTAGTATGGTGTACTGCTTAGAGTGCTGGATTAAGACTGGGAATTCAAACCACTGCTTGGCCTTGAGGATCACTGGCTGACCTTGGACCAGTCAGTCCTGCACCATCAAATGTACCCCACAGGATGTTTACAAGAATAGAGTAGAAGCAAGGGGTATCCTGTTGGCCACCCTGGGCTCTTTGGAACAGATCTGTTCTTTGGAGCAGATCTGGTACAGATCACACATTGCACTTCCTAGCTGGGTAGGAATTTGAACCCAGATCTCACAGGACCTAATATGACACTCTAACCACTACGCCACAAGAAACCTCCACCTGTCCCTTAACCGTCCAATGGTAGGGTATATTTATTGTTTTTTAAATCTACATTCCACATATTTCCCAACAAGGGTCTCAAAACCAGTGAGATATAGTATACTGGTGAGAGTGTCAGAGTACGATCTGGAAGATGCAGGTTCAAATCCCCCCCCCCCCTCTGCCAGGGAAGCTTGCTTGCTGGGTGACCCTGGGCCAGTCACAGGCTCCCTTCTGCCTCACTGGGTTGTGGTGAGGATAAAACAGAGAACAGGGGAATAATGTAAACTGTGTTGAGTCCCCATCAGGGAGAAAGGTGGGGTACAAAAGGAAACAAATCATTAAGGCAACTCTCCTCTTTCTTTTCTATCCCCACCAGCCCCATAAAGCACTATAATGGAATATATTGCTGCGGTCACACACACTAAATAACCCACTTGCAATCCAGTTGGAAAGTGTACTGAAAGTGGATTATTTAGTGTGTGTGACTGCAGCTTAACATATATATATATATATTATACAGGTTCCATCATTTGTATTACTTTAGCTCTACCAAATGCTTTGAGGCGGAGATCCTTAACTTCTGGAGTTTGGAGCCCTTCTGTGTTGGCTTCTTGCTAAAAGATTAGCACTAGAAAAGCAGCATTTCTCACCAGACAGTGACCACAGACTGTTGTTTGTTTGTTTTTGTCTCTCCCAAGATACCCAAGGCCTTCATTCTATTCATTCCATCAAATGGAGAAAAACCAAGAAATCAGGATTTCTACAGAAGAAAATCGACATGATCAAACCAAGAGACCTGAACTGCCTTGAAGGGGAAAGACTTGTGGTTAAAGCTTTGAAGAAAGGGGGGGGGGGACACCGGGGCGAGTTGGAGCCACTATAACTTTGGTTTCTGGCACTGATCTTTATTCTGGTGCCTGTCATAGCAAGTCGGGCACATGCTGAAGATTCCGCCTCCACCGTCCCTCCTCATTGACCCACACACAAACCCCGCGCGCTTTTTTAGTCTATCATGCCAATTACACAGACCGCGCGTCGGTCAGCCCCCCCCCCCCCCCCTCCCTTCGTTTCTCTTTACAAAAAGACTTACCCCACATACACAATCGGCGTGTGCTGCTGTGGCTGCCGCTGCCGCTGGTGCAGCTGCTACTTTGTAAAAGGAGTTTTTTGGAAACCAGGAGGAGGAGGGACTTAAAAAAAGTTACAGTGAAACTGACCAACTGCATGAATTGTTTATCTAACCTGAAACCCGGAGGCAGTGGCCCATCAATCATGGTTAATTACACCCTGATGCCAAGCCTTCAGAGACCCCTTGATCTCCCCTCCCCTCCCCCTCGTCATGAAAAAGCAGGGCTGCCGGGCTTGTGGAATTGCCTCACTTTTGTTCTGCCTCATAACTTTGGTCGACGGGGTGGTATGCACCGAAAAGGTGCGAGTCCTCGGCTCCCATATAACAAGACACGTTAAACGCCTAGTCAGTTGCAACAGCAAAGGGGTTTCCCCAGAGGGATTTAGGCGGGGCTAGAAACAGAGGGGAGGGGGGGGAACCTTGGAAATATTTCGCTCTGGAATGAGATGGAAAGAGGTGGGACTTTGCTGCAGCGTGCTGTGCATCATCTCCCCGTAGGCTACAGCATCTTCCTGCAGTGAGCAGACCGCAAATGTTCAACACCCGAAGGGAGAACTGGACATATTGAAACAATGAGACAGTGTGTGCTTTACAACATTAATGTGGAAAAAGGAGGCGAAGAACTGGATCCAGTTTCCTGATTGAAAAAAGAAGGAACAGTGAGAGTTATGCTCACCACCCCAACTTGAAATTGCACAGTAATTTCCCTCGGTTTTTGTAACCAAATAAGTTTCCTGAGATGCATTAAGGTTTCCTTTGGGGTGGGGTGGGGTCTTTTTTATAACAAATGGCAATAAAGAATGGCTGTAACACGTTGCTGATTTTTTTTATCCTAATGATTTCTGATCTCATGATGTGTATATTTATGTGGCTGTTTATAGAGGGCTGTGTTTCATGAAATTCCATTCTGCCATAAATTCAAAGCAAGTTTTAGGCAAAAAAAAAGGGGGGGGGAGCTGTGTCCCATCGATAAAACATACTTTGAAGACAAATTACTCAAATTCTCCTCTTTCTTTCAATAAAAGAAAGCTTCCAAACTCAACTCCAGCTTTTTTTTTCAGTGTAGCTGAAAGAAGGTCCACAGCTTCTCCTCTGAAAAGAGCAGATTTATTGATAATAAATCCATAGGGTAGCCATGTTATTCTTTTGCAGCAAAATCAAACAGAAGTCCAGTATACCTTGAAAAGGTGTTTTTTTTAAATTCCAAATATTGAGTTTTCATGAGTCAGTGCTCACGTCATCAAGTGCATGGAGAACTTTATTGAATAAGCCATTGGGATAGGTGTGTCTGTCCTTTTCTCCATATGGGAACCTCAGCACTCTTTACAATCCCAAAATACTTGTTTAGCCTTACAGTTCCAAGATAAAGTAAAGGTAAAGGTTCCCTTGCTCGAAAGCCAGTCAACTCCGACTCTAGGGTTGCGGTGCTCATCTCCGTTTCAAAGCCGAAGAGCCAGCGCTGTCCGAAGACGTTTCCGTGGTCATGTGGCCGGCATGACTAAACACCAAGGCGCACGGAACGCTGTTACCTCCTTCCCACCGAAGTGGTACCTATTTATCTACTTGCAGTTTCTTGCTTTCTAACTGCTAGATTGACAGTTCCAAGATACAGACAAGCAATTATGCTCGCAAGATTAAATGTGCTACGGCCTGCGGTCTCTGAAGGCCATATCGGAGGTATACTGTTTTCAGATAGATATTGCGGTTGTGGCTGAGGGATCATACTGTGAAGCATTTTATTTGAATGTCGATGGTATAAGGAGGCTAGAGAGAAATGAATCAAGTCACTTATGCCCCAGCAAAACGAGCCTCCCCCAGACATTTTAGTCACTAACGTTTTAATGGATCCTAAGCCAGCAAATACACTTCCTTTAGGTAAATCCCTTGTTTGTGCCATGTGAGTTCAGGCAGCTTGTGACAAGACACCTTCTCTAACATAGTACATCCTGTCTTCTCTGGCTTGAATTCTTCCTTTCATCCTTTTATTCTTAGCTGGGATACAATACTATTCAAGACCTATAGGTCGGAGGAGTATAGGAAAAAGGGGAGGGGGAGTAAGCCATTGGTTTGAAACAGCCCATTCTAAAGATGCCTCCAAAAGAAGCAGAACCCAGGAAGGAAAGTAAATGAGAGGGGAGGGGAAGACACCAGAGAACCCCAGCAGAGTGACGCTTCATTTTTTCACCTTGGGCATCTGCTATGTCCTTTGGGCATCTGCATTCAGGCTCAAGAGCCTCAGAACAGTCAAGAGGGCTTTGCACAAGCTGCAGGTGTAAAACCTTGGCCTCTGACCCACGGTGGCACAGCAGCCACTCTCTAAGGCGTTGAGGCTCCCTTCCCTGACTCACAAGCAGAGGAGGAAGGCCTCCAACGGAGCTGTCAGGGAGACTCCAGAGTTAGGACTTTTGGTCAGCAGCAGGTTTGAATGGGTTTTGGAATGGCAAGCAGGACCAAGGAACGTTTTGGTCTACACACCTGCTATCAGGCTGCATCAGAACTAATTTCTGCTCTGCAGTTGATAAGGGGCGGAAGAGCCGTTAGAAATTTCCTTGGGAAATTCGAAAATTCTGGCACCTGGCTTCTGAAAGGTTATTTGGGTTTTATTTATTTATTTGGAAAAAAAAACATTTCTATCCCACCTTTTCCCAAAGAGACTCAAGGCAGCTCACAAACCAATTAAAAAGTACAAGTATACCAATTAAAATAGGGGGGGGGGTATATAACAGAAATTAATCTCTGGTCTTCATAGGTAAATCTGACAAAAAAACAACAACCCAGGCCCTTTTACAAATCAGAATGCATACCAGCAATTTCAGACCTCTAATACCACTGTAACAACCCTGCAAAACAAACATGGTGTAATTCCTGCTTTGCCGTGTTCTGGTCCTCTCTGTGTATTATGATAGCCGGGGGGGGCTGAATGCTGCAGTTGGGCTTCAAAGGGTTCTAGTGACCTTGGATGGGTTACTGATGCTCAGCCTAACCCACAACAGGGTTGCTGTGAGGATGGGATATGATCCTGCCCACCTAGCTGTCCTGAGTTCCTTGGAATGAAATAAATTGCTATTTTAACATGTTTTTCAAGCAAAGAAATTATTGGGACCCAGAAGTAAATTGGGTGGCATGCACGACAATGATTTGCAATGTTTGTCAGGTAAACAGAAATGATGCCCTGTTAAGCTTGAAATGTTGGGAAAGGCAGGGAACAGGCTGCATAACACCCACTCAAATATACCCAGCCATTCTTCAAGCAAGCAGAACTATTTAGTTAGGAGACTTTTCTTGTTTATTTTTCCCCAGCCTTTCTAGTTGAAAAGGTGCAAGGTGGCTTACAATAAATTGAAACCATCAATCTGATAGTAAACACAAATTGATGAAACTGGGCCAATGGTTACTGCCTTATAGTCTCTCCCCATATCCAGGGCCGGCTCACCTGCTAGGTGAACTAGGCGCTCACCTAGGGCGCACCGGCCCTCAGGGGTGCCAAACTGCACCCCCCGCCAAAAGCCCCCCTCCGTCTTGAGCGGAGGCGCCTCCGCCCTCCGCCCCCCCTTTGGTGGTGGCCGCAGCTGGGGGGAGGAGGCGGCAGCGGCAAAAGGATGGCTGGGGAGGCAGGAGAGGTTCTCCTGCGTGGCAGCGCCTGGTCGCCTGCCAGAGGAAGGCCACACACACACACACAAGGAAGGTCGCTGGTTTCGGGTGGCACTGCAATTCGCAGATGACCCCCACGTGCTGCCCTGCTTCTCCCCCCCCTCCACTAAATGGAAAAGCCGGGAGAGGCCCGCACGGGCGCCTGCATGGCAAGCCAGGGGTTAGCAGCTTGGAGCACACGGCCTCCCCTGCCTGGAGGCGCAGGGCAGGCGGCCAGGTGGGTGGAGGGGCGGTCTTGAGGAGGAGGGCTTCCTTCTCTCCAGGCCCCGCCTGGAGGTTGGCAACCATGTACTTGGGTGCACATGGGGGGGCCCAGAAGGTAGCCCTGCCTAGGGCGCAAAAAACCCTCGGGCCGGCCCTGCTCATATCTTTTGCATTGTGGCTAAATGTTGAAAGAGGGGTGGGTAGCACAGGTAGGCAGGCAAAGGGCCTTCCTTACACACTCTGCTGCTGGTCACTTCCGATAAGTGGCCAATGTACCTTTATGATGTAATCTCAGAGTTGGAAGGGACCACCAAGGTCATCTACTCCAACCCCTGGCCAATGTAGGAAATTCAACTATAATATCCTCAACAAATAGGTATCCAATCAATACTTAAAAACCTCCAACGATGAAGAATCCACCAACTCACAAGGGGAACTGGTCTAGTGTCAAGCACACCGCGCCATCAGGAAGTTCTTCCTCAAGTTTAGACAAAAACCTTATTTGTTGTAGTGTATATCCATTAGTGTGAGTCTAGTCAATGATATGGCCACTGCCATCCTGAAGGAAATGTTTTTGCTAACAATCCTGAACTTCCAATCTTTTTTTGAAAAAGAAAGTAATTTGTTTCTTCCAACAAGGCCAGGATAATACACATGGCTTTCTCTACCTTAACCCCCAAATAGCTACCAGGATACTGAGTGAAGAAAGGTAAGAAATAGAAATATTAAGTAAATATTGAATGAACAAAGGTGAGTTTTGCTTGTTTTTTGCTCAATTATTTAGATAAATATTGAGAGAGACGAGAGATCACCCAGTGAAGGTCATGGCTGAATTAAAGTTTCAACCCAGTTTTTTCCAGCTCAGTCACACACTCTGACCACTAAATTATTCTGACTTTTCCCACCTGTCGCTAATCTAAAATATACTGTTCTCAGGCAAATGCACTTCCAAGGAAGAATACAACACAAAATTTCCGAATTATAATTTATTACTAAACCTTCCCCCCTCAAGGTGCATATCTTTCTGTAATTCCTTATGGTATCTGTTTAAATTGCACCCAGTTTTATGTTAATCCTACTTTGTGTCTTTAGCAAAAGTTGAGGGTGGCCCTCATCCACTCTGAGTGAATAGATGTATCTTTTTTTATTAGCTCTTGTTTTT